CCCTGCAAATGGTGGGTAAGGTATGGTCATTTAAACGGTTGCAAAATTTCTGACAATATATGCTTGGGAAGTTTGATATCAGGTCCTGTCGGCAACATGTCTGTACTAAAACACATGGTAACTTATTCATTAAACTTGTTCCTGCCGCATATAATAAATAATATTTTATTTAAGCTCTATAAGTGACGCATAAATCAGTGAAGGTTTGAGAGAACCTCATTTTGCTGCAGATGGTTGTACAGAACCCTTGCTTGTTACTCAGTTTTAATAACTCACCATGAGTGAGGTAAGTAGTGTAGCAATTTCTTCGAAATATCGGTTGCAGAATCAATTTTGATTCTAAGTTTCTACTCCTTGTTACAGTTATCTATTGCATGTGAATTAAGTCAGCTGTTACGCATGTGAATATACTTGGGGCGCAAGATTTAATAAAATGTTTACTCCACAGTATCATCAGTTCGATTGAATGCAACATCTAACGGTCTTATCTGATTCTCGTAGCATTAATTAAGTTAACTTTTGTCCACTGAGAAAATTATCTTGCTTTTTCTCAAACTCACAGTAATGATTTTTCTCAGCAGCTACTTTATTCTAATCATGTAACCAAATATTGAAACTGTCGCCCTTGTATGATATTGTTGTGTTTATGTTTTGCTGTTCTCATCTAAGCTAACGGAGCTTAAACAGCGACATTGCCTAGATATATGTCTGACCGTCAGAAATGGTCTTCTTGTAAGACTTTAAGTGCGACGATTGAGTGCTAACTTGTACACCTTGTTACGCCATCCTATGTAGTAATTTAACATCAGGGTCCTTACAGCAAAACGTGGTAACTACCTGCGTAGTATTAACTTTATTCCATTAACTGCCACATTTACAAGCTTGATGAATTGTTGCTATGCTGACACTCGACAAGGTTCGAAACAGAGCAGATCAGGATACCTTCGATAATTAGCCACTTTTACTCTGACTCTAAAGGTAATAATCGTGACGCCTTGGTTCGCGGTTGATTGTGACTTAGTAGGATCCGTTATATTCAGGATCGTTACCCCGTGAAATCTACTTCACCTAAAACTTACCTGATTTATAGAAGATACATATATACATACACACATACATACATCTTCTATAAAGACTCCGATGACTGGAAACGTCCCTTGAAGCAGCTGGCCCAGACAAAAGGAATAGCAATATTCGAGAACCTGTTTAAAGAACAGCCAAAATAGGTGGTGACGAAATTACCAAAAGCACGATATGCTTCAAAACACATGCTCAAGTATAGCAGTAGTGCTTAGCATACTAAGAACCGTTCATTTTACTAGCAATGCTGATCTTACTACTTGCATTACTGTGGAATTTTTCACATCAATCAAGAAAAAATCTCTCCTGCTGCAGCATCTTGTCAGGACAACAGTCAAGATTTTTCGTCATTTTTCTGCTCCACTAGTTTCTTTATTTCCTCCTCCATGTCCAACTGCTTCCTTCTCTTTTCCATTGTTGATAAGATGAAATCTGAAAACTTCTTTGTGCGCGTGCCACCGATATCGCTGAGAAGATCTGAGTCCAGAGCGTTGATTTTCATCGTGTCTATACTTGTAGAGATGTACTCGTCGGCCGTAGTCTGGAGTTTGTCCGGGGGATACAGCAAAGCCGCGAAGTATCTTTTGTCGTCATTCAGGAAATTAAATGTCTGACAGCACTCGCTCTGAAACGGACATGTTAAGTAGCTGCATCGTGACGTGGTTACTTACCGTTGGCATAAATTCAACATTAATCTTCCAGCGCCTAAAAGCTGGCAAAAGTCGTTTCGAAACCTCTTGCACGTGCTCTGCATCGCCCACACCAATCAAGACGAGTTCTAAGGCGCAAAATTTATAAAGATATTCTTAGCAGTGAGATGTATCAATATTTCATAAAAACTTTGCTTAACTAATATGTTAAGTACATCATTACTCTACTACATTACTGCTCGATTTTTCGACCTTTCATTCCTTTAACGTTCCTTAATGCTCACTCGTAAAGGGAATAATGCTGGTTCAACATATCAGCAGTTGTAGTGGAACCGTTGTTTGGATAAACAATAATCACAGCATTTTCTCGCAAAATCTGACTTTTCATATTTTTGATAGAGCCACTAGTTTGCTATGTGACCTGTAAATAGTGGGACCATTTGCACAAGTTAAGATCTTGATGGATTTTCTGGTAAACCCACTCCATTGTCCTTTCTACCTGACTAGTTTTTCGTCAGTGGCTGCGTCAAGGCGCAAATCGATACTCTTTTCAGTGTTGTGTTCTCTACTTCCACCTTTCACCAAACAGCTTCGCCATTGCATCGTCCCAGCGTATTGGTGGACGACCGAGCGGGTATCTGTTGTCAACAACAATCTGTTTTGTAACTTAGGATGAGCACTTGTGTCCCTCAAATGAGTCACATGATTAGCCCATAGCCTCGTGGAGTTGTAGGCGGCAGGGGGTACACTCAAACATCGTGTCCGACTTGGAACATGGTCTCGAAGTGAATCTTTCACATTGTTCTTTTCATCATCCTTTGAGCGGCTACTAATGTTTATTCTTCATTTCTCATCCTCGATGGTACACCAGCGCTCCGTTCCATAAATCATGGAGGGTACAACGGCAGTCGAACCGTTCTTTCTTCAT